AAGACGAACAAAGGAACACCAGAAATTTCAAAATCGGAACTCATAACAGTCATTTTCAATGAGACGAGGCTCAGAAAAAGGGAATGAAAGACGGACGGTATGGCTGCAAACACCGGTTGCATATTCCAATCAGATATGCCTTCCGAGTTGCCTCGCCAAAACACGACCTTCAAGTTCACCCATCGTTGCCGGTGCAAATTGTTTTCACAAACAAATTTCATCATCTTTGTAAAGAACAATCAAAATCGGAACCCATGAAAGCAATTATCTACCGTTGGTCTAAGCGTAGGTGAAGCAGCAAAGCCAAGAAGAAAGGAGAGTAGGGTAGGCGGTGGAGAAGATAAACCTGACCCAATTTTGAAGGCGGTGTGAATAAAAAAAATATAACCTTTTAAAACAAATCCCTCTGTGGCCAAAGTAGGAAAGGAAAGAAAAAATGTGGCGGAAATGAGAAACGCGAAACTTTCCTGTTCACCATGTTTTTAACGATTAATAGTATATATAATTAATGACATAAATGGTAATAATTCAATGTATAAAAATAAATAAAATCTAAATAGGAAACAATTTTAATATGAAAAATATCTTAATAGGTTAGATGGTGAGACTATACAATGTAACTGAAGGTATAATACTATAGCTGATCATATTTTCAAAATACAATGATGTAATATGAAAAAAAAACTAAAAGTATGATGTTAAATATACAACCATAGTTGAACTAATTTAGACTTTGAAAGTAGAATGTACTTGAAACTACAATCTCTTATGATGTTACATTTTGAAAATATAATGTTACAATTTAGAGTATAATGCTACAATTCGTTAGATTTTGAATGTATAACGTCTTAATAAGAGAAGAAACTAGTACAATGTCCTAATAATAAGAAAATTGAAGTTATAATGCTCTAAATGCAAATAAAAACATACTTAGTTTTTCAATGTTATAAGTGCAGATTAAATGTTATAACCAATTTGATATTCAAGCTACAACGTCTTTATCAAAAAAGTTAATTGAAGGTCTTATTAGCAAAAAATTATGGGATATGGTATAATTAGTAAACAAAATCAAACAAGTTTGCTATATCTTAATCGAAAAAATAATATAATGTTTTAATAGGTTAGATTTTGAAAGTATAATGTTAAACTTGTTGGATTTTTAAACTAATCTATTTTAGGTAATTAAAATAACAATATCTAAGGAAAAAATAATGGAAAGTATTATGCTACAATGTCTTAAATAAAAGTTTTCATGTGCTCTTTATCAAGAAAAAAAAGTAGAACTTTTTAATAGGTTAAATCTTGAAAATGTAATGCTATAGGTTAAAATTTTCATGTGTTCTTTATCAGGGAAATAAAAATGTAGAATTTCTTAGCAGGTTAAATCTTGAAAAAGTAACGCTATAAGTAAAGCTATAATGGTAAAATAAAAGTAGATTATTTTAATAGGAAGAAACCATTGAAAGTTTAATGAGATAGTTGATTTCTTACCTTGGCAATGGAATTGGACAATGGAAAGTCGTTTAGCTTCTTTTTTTTTCTTCCAGATTTGTAGGTGCTCTCAACTACTCCAATTAGTTGTTCTGTCAAAAAAGGATTTGTAAGATTATGATAATAAAAAAAAGGGTAGGAATACATAAATGTGGTTGTTTATATGTTGTTGTTAGCCAATATTACATTACAATAATATTAAAACGAGTAAACAAGCATGGTAAACCTAGATTCCACCTTGCTAAATTTATAATCTTTAATATTATCATAACATAATTTGTCCTAAACAAATATAATTGAAGAAAATACCAAGTTTTAAAATCCAGCCAAAATACTCTTCATCCTGATCAGATGATGTCTCTCCTAAAAATAAAATACATTAATAAGAAAATACAGAGGAAAGTATAATAATGCTAAAACTAGTTAGATTTTTACAATATAATGTCTTAAATAGGGAAAAGATTAAAAGTAAAATGTCTGAATGTGAAAAAGATATAGATATAAGAGATTAGATTTTCAAAGGGTCATAAAAGTACAATGCTTTGAAGCATATAACAAATACATATATATTGTAAACATGCATCATTCTTCAGCTAGTAGGATTTAATGAGTATTAAATAATATATACCTTTACCTAAACGGTAATAAAAAAATCACAACATCATCATCATATTATAAAATTACGGTTAGAAAGTCTTACAACGATCAATAAGAAGGACTGTTAGATAAAATTGTTTCAGACGCTAGCCTGACTCTTCACAAACCTGACATTAATAAATATGTATTTCTGTAGTTATAACAATTGTAATAATATATACATTAGAAAATAAATTATGTTGCATGTAAGCTAACATCTAGAAGCCCGGTGGATATAATAATAAGAAGTACACCACCACACCATTTTAGTTGATGAAGGTAATCAAGATAAAAGGATATATGTATGGTCAAGTGTATGAAATATCAATGCGCTTTCATTAATTTGAAGTCTAATGTCCTAAAAGAAAAATGGAAGTACAATGAGATTTTTTGCAATATAATGACCTAAGTAGCATACCTTTAACAACAGCTCCCCATCCAGAAGCAGAACCTAGAAATGGAAAACTTCGGTTATATAAACATTTGAGTTCTATCAAAACAATTTATATAAATAATCGTTGATCATTTTTGTCACACAAACCACCTGATAAGAACAAGAACAACTGGAGTGCAACAGTAGAAATGTGAAGTGGAACTCTACATTCACGAGCCACAATACCCTGAAAAAAGTGTGGTAAATAAATAATGATTAATTATACAGAAGGTATAATTAATCATAAGGTCAATTTTTTGAGTAAAAAAAAGAACCATAGATGGATATTAGTCATACCAGATCCTTCACGAAGATATCAAGTGCAGATAAGGGTGTATAATCATTGTGAGGACCTCGATTCTCAAACATCCTGCAATAATGGAAACAAAATTTTCACAAACTCTACACATAAAATGGAAACTTAATCCCATTATGTTTATTAGTTAACATTTTAATAAAGAAGACATAACAAGATGTTCCTTCACTATTTATTTTTTATGACATTAAACAAGATTTTTGTATCTAAATCTAATCGAGCTCCAAAGGCCATTGCTTCAGCTGCTGATGCTATATGAACTCCAGCTAGCAGTCAGTTGATTTAACATCTTTACAGAAAAATAAAGTTAATAAAATTAAAGACAATTTGATGTAGGGGAAGTGAAAATTCATGCAAGAAATAAAAAAGGAAAATAAGTTATTTTGATTAGTCATAATAGTTGTAATAAGACTGATATATGATGTCATCAAGACAATGTATTTACAATTCAGTGTTTGGAAACAAAGACAGATGTCAATGGTACATGGGCTTGTTCTCGATTTGTCGTGTGTGCAAAAGACATGAATGCCCTTCTAGAAAATAGCCCTAGAAAGTGAGATGCATTCAGTAAAAAGACTAACTTACACACCGTAAATGTGCATTCAGAAGCCCTTATGACACCACCAGATACAATAAATCATAATGTATACAAAAAAGGGTTAACAAATCTACCAGTTAAAGCAATGCCGTATGAATACAAAAAAAATAGTGCTATGATTAGGTAGTTTTTTCAAAGTATAATCAAGAAATAAAACTACATTACTTCTTCTTTCATTCTAACGGTTTAAGAACAAGAGCTTATGCAACATCAAAGGTATTACAGGAATAGATTATATTATTTGCTGCAGAATGATACCCACCCTTGATTAGTAGTAAAAAGATAACCACACACCATATTTAGAAAAAAAAAATTAAAAAAACATACTCTGTAGGCGAAGCTGAAGCCAACTAACAAAAGCAGGAGAAACTGTGGATGAAGTACACATAAAGGAGAAGTAATGTCAGTTTAGCTCACAAAATTGTAGGCTATAATTAGATATACGTATACCTGAAACAGCCCCATCAACACCATATAGAACACTTTCAGCTTGAACTTCATTTGTCACCATGACAATAAGAACCTCTACATAATTATTTAAAGCCCATGGAGTTTTTGTAATTTAAAATCCACCACTGAATGTGAATCTCTTATGTTACCTTTTGATACTTGTGCAGGAGAGCTTCCAATCAGGCCACCAGCCTTTTCAAACCTGTAGATAAAGTTGACTTATACACCTATTATCCAGACAAAGCATAACAGTAACGGAATCTTGAGCTTTGTACATGTTGTATTATTTATTATTTTTATCCATAATAGCAACATACTTTCATTTTGCTACCATTAAGGGTACTCTATTCGTTTCATGGGTAAGGAATTGTAACTATGTTGCTATTATGGGTTATGGGTTACTATTATCAGTAATAAAAGTGCAAGTGCATCTCTTTTATGGATTTATCGATAATAATAAAGTATATTTTCTATTTTGGTAAAGAGAAAAAAAGTATGTTGCTAATTACTGCAAATTGCCCTTCATCTAAATACATAAAAGAAAAAGTGAAAGGAAGGAAAAGAAGTGTTACATCATATCCTTGGACACAGAAATTCGATTTCACAATATGAGTTGGCCATGCCAAATCCCATATAGCTCCAAGACCAATAAAACCAATTTTATTTGGTGTTTGTGATTTCTTTGCCAATTAATTAATTGTTCAGGATTATAAGTTTCTGCAGCATCCTTAATTTGAACTCCAACTACTCTTTCCCAATCCTGCAGAGAAACAATTTCAGACATGAATGAACATGGTTGATAGCAGATAGATGATAGTCTAATAATCTGTAACCTTTAAACTATCAAGACCATTTAATGCATCTGCATCAGTGATTATTCATTTGATTTTAGTATTCATATAATGTCTTTGATGTAGAGCATACCTGCTAGGAATTGTTGATGTAGAGCAATAGCCAGAAGTGGAAGAGGAAATATAAGGGACTTGGCTGTGTCTAAAATAGTCCCCTGTAGTACACAAAATTTAATTGGGAAAAAGTCCTTCTATGTAATCTAGAAACATTAATGAATTCGGGTAAGTTACCAAATCTTCAACTCAGGTGTTAAGGAAATCATCCTTGATTTTGTAATAGATAGGGGATGTAATTCTCGAAAATCCTGCCATATTAGAAAGGAAGAAAGTTATCTAATGTATAATAATATAAGATCAAAGTTTTATATAACATTTGGAGTTCTTCTTTAACATCAGCTATGAAACTACTTAAAAATAAAAATGAGTTCAGATGATAATAGTTACTGAATCTACCATGAGTTTCCTGCAGCATTTGATATAATAACACCTAATTTTCCTTGTGCCACCTAACTCATTTTTGGTCTCTATTCCAAATAAAATGACTATTTTTTTTTGCAAAATGACTACTTTTGGTCCCTGAGTAAAGCTAAACTTTGCAATTTTGGTCCCAAAACTAACTATTGTCATTTTTCTTGGGACAAGGACCAAAAACGTTACAAAGACCTCAATTCAATTTAGAACATAGCTTTGTGGCCCTCTGTAACAATGCACTCAGAAATGGAAAAAGAAAGTTGCAAAAAGCCCTAAAAAGAAAGAAAATTGGCCCTCTGTAACAATGTACTCACTCAGTGTGGGGAACTGATAATGGAATAGAGATAACTTCATTGAAGTGGCATATTCTTTAACAAGATTTATCAACAACAATCTAATACATCTAACTACTTTTAATATTTTCTAAGCCCTGACTTCCACCTTACTAAATTTATAGTCTTAATGTTATCATTCATATAAGAAGGTGGCCTAAACAAATTGAATTGAAGAAATACCAAGTTTTCAAATCCGGCCAAATCCTAGAACCATGTATCCACCACAAGACAAGATGAACTTGTTTTACCTATCAAAAAGAAATTGAAATGTTTTTACGATCAACATAGATTGATTTCATTATCTTTGTTTGTTATGATTCCAACAATTAATTATTAATTAAACAAGGAATGAGTGACAAAACTCACATGATGAGATGAGATCATAACAATTAAATGAAGCATGGTTACTGGAGTTGGGATTTTCCTTTTTCATTTTCTAATGTCACCAAGGGCTCCCTTTCTTTCACCAAAATCTAACACAAACATAAAATAAAATGAAGACTCAACAAAATCATAATTTTTTTGTCTAAACATGTTTCATAACTAACCCCCAGTATTTGCAGATTCTAAACATGTTTCAGTCACTAAAATCATAATTTTTTTGTCTGATAAAAACTCTAAATTTGAAATGATTCAAGATTTTTTTAAACCATAATTAGAAGAGCAGAATCACCTAAAGTGGCAGATCACAATCAAAACGAAAAAAATAGAGTGGTGAGATGAATTATTTTGATCACAAATGACCATATTTCAAACTGATTCAGGACAAGTTTCATGAATAAAAAAAAATCAAAATCAAACCTCTGTTATAAGTTGTAATGCATCTTTTGAATGAATTTAGTTTTTAAAAAAAAAACCCTCCAACAAAAAGATAAAGATGAAGAGGGTGCTTCATTATTAATTAGAAAGGAAAATGAAGTAGTGTAGAAGCAGGCTTTTAATTATAATATTTCTTTGGCATCACCTGTCCCCAATCATGTCTTTCCCATATCAAAACTCTAAAACAAAATGGAAGAATACTTATTAAATGTTAGTCAGTAAAGTTGCATCCCAATTTAACTTTTTAAGCAAAATCAAACAAGTTTAATATTTTAAAAGTAAAATGTTTGGATGATGATGATAACTGAAAAAGGTGGAAATACATGAATGTGGCATATTAATCATATAAGCCTATTAACAGCAAGAATTACCTTCATACCACCCAAGGGAGACACAACATGATAAATCTTGAAAATCTTATATGAATTTGGTCATTGTAGAAGTAAATTCAGCTCTGAGAGCAATATTATGAGAAAATACCTCCAAGATGAAGATGCTGAAGACTTGAAATGCTAATATAATAATAAAAAGGTGTGAAATCCATTTTGATTTTGAAGAACCGATTCATCTAAGTACAAATTAACCCTCTACTCCACAAGATGAAACATCTTCTACCTATCAAAATCATTTCAAATACATATTATCTTTGTTATGAATCCAAGAATTAATTAAAACAATGAAACTGCAAGATGAATATTATAACCCTTTCTTTCCTGTATTGTCTCTTTCTTTGCTGGAGAAAAAGCGTAACCATAATTATATGTTTTTAATCCCATACAAATTATAAAAACCCATCAACTTTTATTTTATTTTACCTAACTTTTTGGTACTCATCACCTGATGTTTCAAGATTCATGTTTACACCACTGGGTTGTTAGGAGCAGAGATTTTGCTTCCAACCTTTTAACAAAAAAAAAGAAAAAGATTCAAGATCTTCAAATAAAAATACTGAAACTTGGAAACAAAAAGGGACATCAACTTTATTTATGCATTCATCTTGTGTCACTGGTGCAAAATCATTAACTTGAATGAAATTTAAAGTATTTAAGTTAAAATAAATGGCTAACCTTTTCCCTTTTAAACCAACAACAACTTTAAGCATTCCAATTGAATAAAAAAAAAGGTACCACTCCTCAACCTGGATATAAAACAATTTAAGGCCATAATACTTGAGACATTAATTATATTAATTCTAATTTTATTGGTATAAAGCATGCTTACAGGAGTTGGGACTTTCCTTTTTCATTTTCTAATGTCACCTCCCTGTTCCTTCTTTCACCAAAATCTAACACAAACATAAAATGTATCTACAAAAAAACGCCCAACAAAAATGCAGTTTCTTTGTTAAGTTGTAATGCACCTTTTGAATGAATTTAGTTAAACCCTCCAACAAAAAGATAAAGATGAAGAGGGTGGTTCTAATTAAGGATGTAATTCAGAATTAACATCTTATGTAATCAACTAATTTCATTCCCATTTCTATTTCTATTTCATGTGTTGAGAGAGAGAGAGAGAGAGAGAGAGAGAGAGAGAGAGAGAGAGAGAATTACCTTCATACAACCCAAGCCATGGCAGAATCAATCAATTGATCATTAATTGTCCTGAAAATTAAAATCAAAATATTAATAAATAGTACAATGCTTGTACATTTATAAATAAATAAATAATTATAATTGTTAACAACCTAGATAACCATAGATTCTGCCTGTCCTCTTTCAAAACTTCACCCATAATTAGACACTCTATCTACATCCAGAAGAAGATTTAATAATGATGATTAGAAAATTTAACTTAATGCAAGATTCCAATCACTAAAGATATTTTTAGATATCTGCAAGCTTTTCCATAACCTCTATTATCATATGCTAATCTCACTCCATTTCAAAGTACAAATCATTAAAAATAAAAATTTAAGATCAAGCAAAAGTAATTGTACACTTTTCCTTTGGCTGTTCATTTGATATATGAATCATATAAGAAACACATATATACTGTAATTAGTAGGAATATTAAATAATATAACTTACCTAAATTATAAGATTCCTCTCAGTACCCCTGTACAAACATCCTTCCATTGGAGTGGCAATGAAATGACATGTATGCCCCTAATCATCTGACATTTCAAGATTCATGTTCACACCATTGGGTTGTTAGGAGTCTCACTACTCCAACTGGACCTCATGCACGGATTTACTACTTGTAATGATTCCAACCTGTTAACAAAAAAATATTCAACATCTTCAAAATATATATATATATATATATATATATATATATATATATATAAATTAACAATCAAAATATATTTAGTCAACTCTTACTAGGATTTAAAACACAATAGAAACAAATGTCAACCCACTTGACTAGTTTTTTTCAGTCAACTCTTACCAGGAACAAAAAAATATGCAGGCTCTCTCACCACAGCATATCACCCTTCAAAATATACCTATCTATTATTTGAGGCATTAAATAAATAATCTGATATTATATTAAATGCTAATTTTATATAAATGCCTTACCTCAGTTGGGACTTTTTCCAATGTCACTAAGGACTCCCCTGTTCTTTCTTTCTCCTTTCTGGTTTACATATGCTACAGAAGAATCAGACTCAGTCAAGATGTATTGAAAAATCACTGAAGTCTAACACAACCATAAAATGGAGACTAAAAAATTTAAAATCTAAACCAATGTGTGACTATTCAAAAACCTGTATTTGCAGATTTTAAACAAGTATTTTCAGTTAGTAGGGCAAACTCTCTAGAATCACAATCAAAAAAACAAAATAGAGAAGTGAGATCAATTATTTTGATGAGTTACATAACCCACAAATGACCATACTTCAAACAGATTGAGGAGGAGAAGTTTCATGAAAAAAAAATCGTATCTCATATAGTTATTAAAATAATCAAACCTCTATTTGGCTTCTTGTTGTTCTTGATTATCCTGTCAGATAGCCAGAAAACAGGATGTGTTGCATGATTATATAACATGAATAAGTAGCCAAGGTTCATACGCTAGAATCAATCTTCTTTTCCACACATTAACTTTAATTGTATATAAGAAAAATCACGTCTCGATAACAGAAAAACCCTAGATTAGAGAATAAAAAACTATAAGAATAAAAAGATGAAGAAAAAAACCCAACGAGAAAATGCAGTTTCTTTTTTCAGTTGTAATGGGTCTGGTGCATCTGACAAAATCAGAGTTTACAAAAAAAAAATGTCAACGAAAAGATGAAGAGGAATGCGGGGTAATACTAGAAACCACAACGAGAATAAAATAAAACAACAATTAACCTTTGATTCATTCTTAATCACGCAGCAATTTTAACTTTACAAGAAAATTACAATATCTGAATCACCAAAAAACCGTAGAGAAAACTTACATCGATCTTGATAACTTCTTGGACTAACAGGCGAATGCGAGTCTACTGCGAAGGTTGGGGTGTTTTGGTCTCGTGCAGTAGAATTACATAGATCGTCATCGGTAACTGAAGAACGCAACCCTTTTGATTTCCATCTCCGGCGAAGGATGGCGGAGCTACTGCAATCGCTATGTGTCTGTGGGGTGTTTTGGGGGTCTGTTGGAAGCGGGACACCTGAAGAAGAACGTATAAATAGCGGGAATAACCCTTTCAACTTCTAACGGTTAAATATCATAAAAGCCTTTCCAAAATTAAGATCAAGATTTTGCCTATAAAGAAAGAAACGTATTAAATCTTAAAACATGTTTAATTCTTGAGAATAACTTAATTGAATTAAAATGTTTTTTTATAAATGGTTTTTGTCATTGTAATTTTCACATTTGGCATATGATTATGATCCCACTTTTTTTTTTAACCATTATTTTACATTAAAATACTAACTGTAGAATGTAATTATTATCACCTGATTGACTGTTATTAGTTGCTTACTATTATATTTAAACAAATAATAATTGATTGAAATATGTCAACGTGGAGTAAATTAAAAAAAAAATAAAACATTTATTGTATTTGTCACTTATAATTTAAAATAAAACCAACATAAAAAACAATATAATTTGGTCAATATTCGTTTTAACCATCATATTTTTAACTACAAAAATCACTAATATTTTCAAAAAAATTATATCAAACTTGTTGCTTCCTATTTTGCATGTTCTACTAGTCTAAAAAAAACATTCTAATTAAAAAAAAAAAAAAAAAAAAAAAAAAGAAAACAATTGTGGCTATTATTGTTTATTTCCTTTTGTTATTTTAAATTTTTTTTTTTATCAAAATTTATAATTTTTTATTCTTCATCAAAGACATCCATATCGATATTTGAATCAAATATTGGAAATTCTTTGTAACAAAAAATTGTACGAAAAATTATTCTACTTGTGAATTTGACTTGAGAAGTATAGCTTTAAGAGTTTTCTAGGTTACATAAAACATATTTGCACATAGGGATGGCAAAAAACCCCACACCCAATGGGAAACCCGAAACCCGCACCCGTTTTGACTGGGGAGATTCCAAGTTGACCGGCGATGGGGAATCCCCGAATAAAAAAAGTGGGGATGGGGATGGGGATACCCTTAATCCCCGACCCTGGACCCGTCTCCGACATATATTAATATATAAAAATAATACAAAACATATATTTTCAGAACAATTTATAATATATAAAATTTGATCTAAGTAACCTAACTCATTAGTGATTACTTGGTTGAAATTATACTTTTACTTTTTCTTTTATCTAATTTAAACTCGTGTATATATATTTTTTTTCTCTTTTGTTGATCTATTTTACCTAAAATATCAATCTGCTAATTTTTTTGCTACTTGATTTTTCATGTATGTATTTAAATTTGGTAGAAAATTTATTTATATTTTTTATGCAATTTATGAGTACTTATATATTTTATAAAATCTTTAAACTTATGCTGGTAAAATTAAAATTTAGAGTTTTTTCTTATGTAAAAGTTTGCATATTATAAGATAAATAGAAATCCATGTTTCCCCATTAAGGATCCCTGGTCCCCATTGAGGGTGGGGATGGGGGTTTATTTATATTCCCCGATGGGGATGGGGATTGGAATGAGGATTCGGGGATGAGGATGGGGATCGAGGTCCCCTTTGTTCCCCGCCCTCGTTGCCATCCCTATTTGCACAACGGAATTTCACATAAACATTTTATGATATTTTCTCATTATAGCAACATAGTATGAAAAACTAATTTAATCGAGGTATAATCGAAAATACGATATTAGAATACATACCTTTAAGTATATTAAAATATACTAACTATTGAGTTTTTCAAATGCTCCATGGAAAGCTAACATCCAATAATGTGAATGCCTTTAATGTTTCACACCCAAAACCGTAGAACACTAGAACACACAATGCAAAGAATGACTTGGAGAGAGGTGAAAATTGGCCACCTTAGGGTTTCTAAAGCTTAGGGTTGATTTTCCTTAGACTAGAGGTGTTTATATAATTGAGTGGACTGTTAGGGTTTCTGGAGGAAACCTTAATATATTGCTTAGGCACCAAGCAACCCATGGACTTCCACAATAGAAGCCTTGGACGGATTCTATAGGGTCTCCTATAGATTTCGTCCGATCCTCCCGTAGGAGTCCATCAACCCAACTTTGCAACTATCAATGATTTGCAAAACAGTCCCTTCATTATTAATCAGTTCCTTTTAATCCCAAAATTAATATCATATTAATTTTTATTAATTACTGATTAATAATATGATTTTCAAATAGTATATTAATCTTGTAATATATCAATAAAATCATTCTGAGTACCAATTTATTCTTCATACAATAAATCATACTCTCTCTCCGCTTATCATCCTATCAAGTTGCATGAGTGACGGCAACCCAAAAGGAGCATGCTCATAATCAAATCAAGTACATACCAGATATAGTTATGGGCTTAGACACCTAATCCAACACATGCAAGAGTTAAGACCATTTTCATGGAAGTAGGATACCATTTTTGGAGTTTGGGCTTGTTTGGGACATGCAAAGTCACCAAGTCAGTGACTTTATGGATTCAGACGTTAAGAGGAACTCAGATCTATGATTTGGACCATTAGGTAGAAGCATTAAGTGCTTAATAGAATAAAAGGCTTAACAGGGGAGATGTTGGGCGTACAAGCTGGTACGCGTAGCGTACAGCTGAGTACGCCCCACGTACTCAGTCAGATTGGGTTTTGCGTTATTGGGCCTTGGCTTCGGCCATTCATGGGTCTTGGTTGCTTTGGGCCTTAATGGGCCCACTAAGGGCCATGTGAAAGGATTGAGCCCAATTGGAAATTGGGCCAAGTGTTGGGACTTATAAGAGCGTTTATCTTTTGGGCGAAGGATTTAGTAGAGGTCATTTTGGACAAGAATATGTGAGGGGTAAAATGGTCTTTTACCCCAGTGAGGAGTTATGGTTAAGTTATGAGAATCCCAAACTTATTTAGTTTATATGATAACTAGTAGCTCGGGGAGTCGAAGGATCAGCAATTCGGGATTTGCCAACTAGCAGCCAGAGGATTATTTGCGGGACTTCAATAGTGCAAGGTAAGTCTCCTCACTGTTTGTATGGGTCTACGGCCACAATGCGACCCATTTAGTTTATGCATGGTAGGAAGACCCGGGGGTTAGCCCTTGGCACTATGTATGAAAGACCAGGAGGCGGTTCCTAGCACACTGTATGTTCTTATGTATGATAGGAAGATTTGGGGGTTAGCCCTAGGCATTATGTATGAAAGACCAGGAGGTGGCTCATGGCCCACTGTATGCTCATTAGCTAAGTAGAGTAGTATGTATGCTACTTGTCTTTGTGATACTTGCATGGAAGACCAGGAGGTAACTCTTGGTACTTATCTATAAGACCCAGGGGTGGCCCCCGACTTGGCAAGAAAAACCACGTGGCGGCCCATGGCATAATGGCAAGACTATGTGCAACACATAGCAACTTATTTGATATATGATTGGTATGTATGGCTCACAGTTATGTATGACTCAGTTGATATGTATGGTATGTTGTATCTAGGGAACTCACTAAGTTTCGTGCTTACGGTTTACATTTTTGGTTTCAGGTGCTCACAATTTCAAATAAAGGAGCTTGGGACGATCACAACGCATTCACCCATGTTATTCCGCCATATGTGATCTTTGGGATTAGACTCTGATATTTGTTTAATTAAAATGTTTTCAATGTTTGAAACAAGGTTATTTAAGTGTTTTGATCAAACCGTTTTATAAATTATTAAATCAAAAATGAAATTTTTGGTCTTGGATTTTAGGATGTTACAGAAACGTTGTCTGAATTACCAATCATCACTTTAACAAGTGAGTGTATAGTTACTTTCATCTTACACATAAACATGAAGTTTTTAATATAAATTACATGCTATATGTGCATATTATATGTGTTCATGATATCTATGATGGATGAACAATTTATACATGTTTTACTTGATTTAAACTGTATATGTATTTTGTACCTATAAATATGTTGGGTAAAGATGTGTAGATGAAAGGTGAAATATATGTTGAAAGATGAAACAAATGATGAGAGACCTCGCCTTTAAAGTTGATAAAGTCATCTAGCGGAGTATAGATGACGACCACAGACTATTCTAGACAGTCAAGTGGAATGATGACAGGCTAGCAACCCGTAGGTGTTTTTGAACTATGTGTTCACCATGTGTACTCCATCCCCTCATGGTTGCCCTTACTGACATATATTGTTGAGGTATCCCCTAAGCAATATTGTTTATCCCGATTACAATCCTTACGATATGTCCCTTAAATTAGTTGCTTTAGGAATAGGGAAGTGAGGATAACTGAAACGAGTAATCAGGTTGAATGATTTGATAAAAATAAAGAATTTAATTATTGTGGGTTGAAAGTCCTATGTGCTTATCAGACTCCCAAGCTTGACCCACTCAGTTTCTTGTCTTGTATTACAGGTAGTGGCAAAAGAACACATATTTGATGATCAGATGAGAGATCTATGGATTATAGGTCATCAGAATAATAGATGTTTGTAAGACATGTACTATTTCTATTTATGCTTATGCACTGTCTTGACAATGACATCCCAACGTTTTTAATATAATGAAAATACATTTCTTCGGAAAGGGTTTGATAATATCCTTATCATATTTTTGGGAACAAACCCCACAATATTTTTCTTGAAAAGGATACTCTGATTTTAAATA